AAGAACAGTTGTCCTTGTTTTATTGATAACGAGCTTCTGTGTTTGGCTTTCTTTCTCCAGAAAAAATATGAAGTAGAAATCTGGGAGCACTATCAGCACTGTGAAGATGGAAAGAAAACCAATGGAAACATTTGCTTTTCCGAAGGGATAACATGGCATAGAAACAGAAGAAAAACAAATGAATTATTTTTCTATAGCTTTCACAATATAGTCCACCAAAAAAATTGTCCCATGTTTTCCTTCTGTTATTACTCCCAAAATCTAAGGATACCTATTTGAGTCTGCTTTTCAAATCCATTTCCTCCTCCTCAAGATTAAAATATTAATAACCCAGGATTAACCAACAGTAATTAAAGTTCTCTTTTTCTTTTAAAAGTGAAAAAGCACTTTTTTTTCTTTTTTCAGGAAGCCTAAATTACAAAGCCCATTAGACTTTTTTTTTACTTTTTTAAAACAATGTGAACTGACTGTATAAAGCCAGCAAACAGATCTGGATACATTATGACATGAAACCACAAACTTAGACTCAATATTAAAACCTTAAAATGAGCCTCTCTGGCTATATTTTTTTTTCTAAATTTAAAATTTCAAAGTATTTCTGTTTTCATAATGTAGGAATGAGTCTTCAACAGAAAACTCAGTTTTTCTTATGCACAACTGGGTGATTCCAGGTTGCCAGATGAAGTACAGAAACAGAAGGATAATTCATTTGCATAAATTTGCCATCCCAAAGATTTGTGACTTGCTGCCATAAACACTTATGAGAAAGGTGTAAACTTGAAAAGGTACAGAAAAGTGCTAACCATAAATATTGGTGTAAAACATACACTCACACAACTGTAACTGTTGCAAATGCAGAGAAGTACAGTGGAGCTTCATTAACTTCACTGATTGGAAATTATAATATTCTGGGAATCAAACAATAAAAAATTCAAAGATGCTGTGTCCCAAACTATGATAAATCATTTATTTTGACAAGTAAGGGTAGTTTAGTTTTAATTATTTATTATTATACTTCGTAGCATATCAGAAAATATGCAGTGATTTATTGTGCAAAATGAAATCTTAATAAAACGAGTCCCTTCCTCAAACTACAGGATTATTAAATGTTCATGGAAATGCGAGGGTGAACTCTTGGGGTTTTTTTATTATCGAGCTGGTGGGTTAGTAAAGTGAAACTAAGCTGTTCTTATTGCGTTGAGTTGTATTTTGACTTCAGCCCTTCCGAGACCCAAGCCATACACATCGGACATCCTCGGGGACGAGGAGAGACGTGGAGAGGGCTGACGGAGCCCAGCTGCTGCTGCCCACAGCCCTGCTGCGGTCTGGCAGATGACGCATCTTCCTGCTAAAGCAAGCGGGGGCTACTGGCTTCACACTTTACATCCCTGCTAAAGCTACACGTCATAGAGCTAATGGCTCCTCTCGAGGCAGGCGTAGGTAGACCAGCCGTTTTAATGTACTATTCTTGTTCTTTTCATACCGGTTTAGAGCTCTGAGGACTTTAAAGTGGAAGGGTTACTCCACAGGCCACCACTGACACCCACCTCCCAGCCAGCACCTGCCTCACCCGAACACTGAGTGTAAATTGCTGTACTTAAATGACTCCATTTGAGCTCTGTCAGTCTGAGTGAGGCTAGCCCTGCTGCAAAACCCCACTCAAGATCTTGGATTAACTGCACTGAGTGCCTGGATTTAGAAGCCAGGGAAGGGCTGTCATCCCAGCAGCTGTGCTGCCATCACATCGCTACCTCCAGCACCCGCCCCCAAACCCCTCCACCCCGGCTTGCTCAGCTCAAGTGAGGGATTTATTTCTCTTGTCAGTTAGGGGTATGTTTTGGGGAAAATTCAGTTCATACCTTGCATAAACGATACAATGGAGTTAGAAACCGAGCTTTGCGGTCACTACCCCTTTTTCTTTCTAAGCAGAAAATTGCTAAGCTCATTGGTATTTAAAGGTAATTACTTCTGTGAGCTAGTAATTTCTTCTGGGGATCACAGCACACAAACAAGCCCAGAGAGTTCCTGCATGAAACAATTTGAGGATCCAAATGAGGAGAAAACAGTGAAAGGAAAGTGATGGAGTCTGAAGACTAAGAAGAACGGTCCATGCTTCACCCAACAGGACACAAGGGTGGGAGTTCCCACATGAACTCTGTGCCCATGGCTTTCATCGCCCAGAATAGGGACACCTGGATCAGCGTCAGTGAGTACACCCACCCTCTCGCAACTGCAGAACTGGAGAGGGAAACAGCACTCCCCACCTCTTTAAGAGTCAGAGCTCTGTCCTTACACAAAGGAAAGGAAGTTCAGAACCACCAGCTCTGGATTTTAAAAGGGCAGTAACTGAGAAAGGGATTTTTAAGAAATATCATATATTAAAAAAATTACAGCAAGTATTTTTCACATTTTCAGTGGGAACATTTTGCTGCTCTGTAAAGTTCTGCTCCAAATCCCCGTCATTTGGGTCAGTGTTAATTCCAGAGCAGCAAAACATCACATCAAAATCAGCAAGGCAGTCTATCCTCAAAGTAGGAGTCATGCTGAGCATTACTCTTTAAAGGTAGCCTTAATAATGGGGAATAAGTACTTACTGAAATGGTAAAAGGAAATGTTAATTTAACTATTAAATATATTAAGTACTTGTTTCTACAATTGTAACACTTCAGCCTGATGCAAACTCACTTTCTGGCCTGTGCAATGGATTTAATTTCTTCCTTTTTTTTTTTTTTTTTTTTTTTTTTTCCCAGCTATAAAGAAATAAAACACAGGAATCGCTGCTACAAAGATTATTTAGTGATAATTTATAGAGCTGTTTTATAAAGGTAAAGCATCACACAAGACAAGGACTATGGGCACGTTTCAGCAAACAGCTGAGGTACTCCACCAGCTCACTGTCCCTGCTCCTCCACTGGTGAACTTTCCCTCCCCTGTCTCCTCTGAGGCCACACGCTCCCCTCACGTGCTTCATCTCAGCGCCGCTGCTTCTCTGACGTTTTGTGGAGCTGCCTCAATTTGCTAAACCCTACAGAAAACAAACCGGGCCCCTTCACCCCGAATTCAGGTTTTTCTGCATTTACTGAGCTCAAGGGACTCAATGAAGAGTCCCCTGGTTGCAAAAGCTGCTGTGAGGGAGGGGACAGGACCACAGCAGCTGGGGAGGGAAGCAGAGGAGGGGGAGGGAGGAGATACAACGGGCTCTTCTGGCTTTGCAACAGCTCAGATGAGCTGCACACTGATGTTTACATACAGATTCAGAGTTTGCTGAATTACAACCAAACTAAGGGTTATGCATGTAAGCCTTTATAAATTTTGACTAATTTAAATAAAACCCCAATTAAAAAAAAACATTGCAGGTTTGTTCTAGTTACACAGGAAAATACCTTTAGCATTTCTGTATAAATAAGATCTATTCCATTTTAGTATGGCAACTAGGAAATCAGTAATACCTGTTCTTTAACTACAACCCCCCTTATAGTCTGAGAAAAGAAAAAACCTACTGGGTAAATCGTTGCTATAACTTTGCAAAACATACTGCCTTTGCAAAGATCACCAAGTAATTCTACCAAAACATCTTGAACACCTACATCATCTCTAAAAAGGCTACAGATTTTCAAATAATTACCAGCACTTTCATAAATATTTAACTCCGTCTACAAAAGTTCTTTGACAGAACTAAAAACCCACTGTGAAAACTCCAATTTTCTTTTACTGACTAAATAATCAACCCAACAACTTACAAATCTGCCTTCTGCTTCATTAATATTTTTCCAATTTATAAAGAACTAAGTAAAGGACAATATACTTGCTATACTTGTCAGCTGTACCAGGGGAGTGTGGGGGCTGAAAGCTGATCTAGCAAAAGGAAGACAAAGCTGCAGCTGGAGTGGGGGGTTAGTTTTCAACAGGATCAGTGACCTGGTCTGGCCCATGATGTGGCCCACAACTGACAGCACGCGGCGTGCAGCAGGACCGCGTGGCGCAACTATTCCTCCTGGAAGCGAGCTGCTTCAGCTGGATTATAAAACCATAACCTCAGAGACTTAAGATCTGAAATCTCTGATCTTCCTCGCCCATGTCCCTTCCCATGGCAGGGGGGCTGGAACTAGATGATCTTTAAGGTCCCCTCCAACTCAAACCACTTCACGATCTTACCTGACAGAGGGATTAATGAAGCTCACTGAGTAGCAAATGCCTGGTTGAGGTTTCCCTCTGTGAAACCATCACCCATTGCATGTATCACCCATGAATCCAGCATGTCCATACACATCTCCTTCATCACCTCAAATAGTCACTCAGAGTACAGACTGGACCAGAAAAGCACTTTGCTTGGGTGTAGGGTTTGGTTTTTTAAAAACTTTTTATTTTAAAAAGTTCCATACAATTGTTCTACTTTCTCGGGAGCATTTCACTGTGAGGGAATGCAGGAGAGACATTTCACCATCTACCAAATTAGCATCTGGACGAACAGATTACAAATTTCTTTGTTCTCCTGCGCAGCACAGTCTGATCCAACCCTTGCTAAAAATTAATACGCCAATAAAACATATCAGAAAAGGAAGGAAAAAGAAAAGCCCAGAGAAGTCCACAAAAGCTGAAGCTGCAACAGAAGGTCAGGCCTCCCTAGGTAAGGCTGTTGGCAGCCTTTCCACTGCTGCAGGGCAGAAGCTCTTTAATTTGGGTAAACCAATTACCTGCATGTCCGAGTAGGGGCCAACATGATGGATTTAGAAACATAAACCCAAGAATAACTATAGTGGGAAACTTAAGTTTAAATTACTAGAAGGTAAATATATGGCAATCTCTACTCTACTGTGCATACTATCCTTATAGAGTATCCCTGAAGAGCTGTATTTTTCTCTAAATTTGCATATTTTCTTACTCTACACAGTTATGACTGTTAAGTGCATATAAAAGAACTGTCAGGAAATCTAAAAGAGAAGAAGAAAAAAAAAAAAGTCACACTTGGAATTTTATGAGGGACTCATTTAAAATCCTACCTGATTTGCTCTTTCAAGGTCTGTCATGATCATCTCGATTTCATCAGCCCTGGGAGAACAAGAGAGCAGAAGTACTGTTATCACATGAAGAATGCCTGCTATATGAGTTCATGCACTGTACAATTGCAACATTCACACAAACAATACCAATTTTCAATATTTTTTTAAAAGGACACAGTAAGACTGATCAGTTAAACTTTTGACTAGTGATATCCTCTTGGGTTTCAGCTCTGTGGACTGGTTTGCAAGTCTCCCAATTCCTTTGCCCGTTCCCTTTTGCACTAAAGTAAGTGTATTGATATCTCAGCATATTCATTAGATCTTTGAAGATCTTACTCCCCAACCTTCTGCAGAAGGGCAGTGTCATCTTTCCTACACGTAAAGGTGCCTCACAAGTGATAATTATGGAGAAGTCCAAGATTACAGTTCTTCAGTCAGCTACATGTATACATATACACAGAAGTAGACTGTTACTCTTCTGTTTCAGTTTGCCTAGAAGTTCGGTTCTAAATTTGGCTACAAAAAAAAAAAAAATCATGAGGTCAAAGAGACCAAGAAATTTAATTTTACATTATGCAGAGAAGAGTTTTTTGACACAAATTTATGAAACTCTAAATTTAGACTCAGGCTCTTAATGCATATTACAAAGCTGACTAAGAAAGTCAAGGGGTTGAAAACTATACAAATAGTCAAGGAAAAATGGATCCTTCACATACCTGCATTAGGTGGCAGCTACCAGCCCTGACACTTTAAAAAACCCCACCATTTCTAAGACTTTGAGCACACAAATGGATTCAATCCTTAAGCAATCTTTTTTTATCATCATGCTGAATCATGGGCAAATATTTCACACTCATGCTCTCACCTGTGAAAGGTACCAGGAAAAGGGCCTAGAGACCCAAAAGTGTGTTCTGTATCGATATAGTAAGACATATTACTTTTCCCCAGACATTTTGCCTGTCTTATATCTCTGGACCATATGGAAGCAATAAACACTATCCTCATCTCCTATGAACAGCAGATTTAACCAGCAAGTCCTTTTGCAATCTGCCAACACCATAATGTCAGTTTTTTGTTTTTAATCTGTAGCAGATCATTATCAGTAAAAGCTGTGAAATACTGAAATTCCCTTCCTTTGCTGATGCAGAAAATTCAGGGTTTGTTTTTCTAATGATCCCACTGAAGATCCATTTTTCTATGCAGGTGTTTGCTGGGAAAGATGGTTAATTGAAGTACATCAGGGTACTGGCACACTCGACACTGGATCATTACACTGAATGTTGACTTACTCTTCAACAGCATTTTAGGTTTCTGCATGCACACTTAGGGAAATGCAGTAAAAGATCATAATAAGTAAATGTGTATGTATATAAATTAATGGAAAATTATTTTTAATTACGGCCTTTAATGTTGTCGGGGCAACATGAATTGCATTTTGAAAAAATTTGGACAATAATGGAAAACAGATTAACATGTGTTTTCTTGTGCTGGAAAAGCTAATGTGCTCTTACATGGGAAAGAAATCATGCACATGATGTTTTGAATTAATAAAAAATAATAAACATTAGTTACTGAATTGAAAAATCTCTCCTTGAGCAAGTAAGGATTCAAAGTGTGCAGAGAGTAGCCAGAAGACTAACCTGGACAGGTTAACATAAGCCTACAATAACACGTTCGATCTCTGTAGTCGTGGAACTTGTTTTGTTTTAGACTCCAGCCCCAAAATACTTGGGGGTATTTCACTTACAGTACTTCACATGGAAAAGATGTTCCTAAGACCATGCAAGAGACCCCATTATGTTTCTATTACAGAGGTAGAGAAATGGGAAGAGGGCATTCTAATGAACAACAACAAAAAAATTGTTTCCCAGCATTTTACAAATATTTTTAGCCAGGATAGTTTAAGGATCCTCTTTATATAAGCTTATGCATTCAGGCTGAATTTATGTGTGAATGCCTCAGGTTATATGGAGCCAGCAAATGAAGTCTGGATTATGTCACATGCCTCCCAGATCAGAGCTGGGAATGTCCCATCCTTACACGCCGGCTGCAGCTTAAGCAAATCCAGTTTCCACTTGCTTCTCTGTAGAGTTTGGAGAACAATAATGCCACTGCCTTTCCTCCCAAACAGGGGGTGCCAGGTATCAGCTAAAGGTCTGAAAAACTGCAGAACCTGAGAAGAGTGAAGAACTCAGAAGCACAAAACCCTCGGACAGGGAGATGCAGAGGACCCTGCTTTGGGAGCCGGAGGGTTGTTTTTCAGTTCAGCCAAGGGAACTTTTTTTTTTTTTTTTTTTTTTAAGTGGGAAGGGGCAGAAGTGTGAGGGTGTCTGGACCCATCAAAGTGAAGGGAGTCAAGGGCTGGGAAACAGATGAAGACAGCAGAGTGAGAGAAGGAACAGAGGGATGTCCAAGGGCAAAGGACCAAGGGGAGATGGGACCAAGATCAGTAAACCAGAGAAGCAGCCTGGACCAGTGGAAAGGTGTGTGGCTGGCAGTAAAACAGGCTGAAACACAGGACAGTGCCTGAAAAATGCAGTGGAAGGACTCAAGACAATCCTATATTTAAAATGGACAGAAGTATTAATACTGGTATTTGTATGCCATTTTGGCTGGGGTCAGGATTTAAGAGCTCTATTACAGCACTGGTATACGCAGCCAATTACAAAAAAAAAGCGACTGAGGATATAGAATGCCATAAAAATGACATTTCTGCCCTTCAGTGTGCACAGATAATTCTGACTGAATCCAGTAGAACTGTCAAACTGTAGCCAAGGGCAAAATTGTCCCTTTGTCCTTGTATCCAGACACACCAGCTGACTGATCCTGAACTCTCCTTTCCTTCATACATTTTCTTCTACCTAGCTTTTCCGCACACCTAATAAAAGGATGAAGCATCTCCAAAAACGTTCAAGCAAAACATCTTGTCTCCAGCCTAGCAGTCTGCACACCAATGGAGGTTAATGCTGCAACCAAAAATGCTATCTTTAAGTAAAGTAATGAATTAAATTACTGTATATTCTTTCCTAACACAAGTGTCAACAGCATTCAGAAGAATCTTCAAAAGGAATTCAGTCTTTTCATTTTAAAAGCTCAACTACCACATCAGTAGCTGGCACTCAGGAGTCTAAAATCACTTATTTGAGAAAGTCTCTAATAGCTACATTCACTGTTTGCTCAGCAGAAGTATTTATTATAGAATAAATTACAGTTCTCACACCTTTTATGCACTCACAGAAACAACGTGCATTGATTTATTGTTTACAAAGCACCGTGTCGAATTCAAACCTGCAAGGTACGAGGAAACTCCACTTTGGCTCAGTGAATTAGTCCCACACAGGTAATTTTTGATGTATTCACCATCCACCACATTTGCTCATTTTCAGACCTTCCTATTTCAATATTTCTCTTTACTTCAACAGAACTACTTGACAGGCAAAATACCATCCAGCTCAAGGCTGCTGGCACCCTGTCCTGCACGTTTTCACTAAAAATCTGGTGGGAACCATGAAGGAAAAAATGGCCAAGTTTAGCAAATCTGTAGTTATAGTGACCCTAAATTTCTGGCCAAAGTAGTTCCATGTGAACTAAGCTCACTTGCTTAGTGACACAGATCTCATGATTTAATTTTCTTTGTTCCTGAAGCAACACGTGACTTGGCCTCTTGTGTGTGCCTGGATTTCCACATCGCCCCAAGAGCTGAAGGCAAGGAGAAAAACCCAAAGTTCTGTCATTCTTCAGACAGATACAGAGAATGGGGGTAATAAGTAACAAGACTTTTTGCTAAAATACACTGATATTCACCGTGTTTTACAGCAGATTTCTATGTTGCAACCCAACATTATGCAGGGTTTGTCAAGGGTGATACTTTCTTAACATTAAAACAGATCATAAAAAAGAGTGGGTAAAAGCTGTTTTCAGGAACAAATATTACCTACCCTGTGTTTTCTCATTCCACAGATATAATCATTTATCTGATCTAATTCCTTATAATCTCTGTGTTAGAGGAAAAGTAATCATGCAAGCAAGACAGTTCTTCAGTCTGCATTACAGATAGATCGTTCTAAGCTTCAACACTTTCAGGCTAAGGAATTTAGGAAATCAAATTTTAAGCCTGAGCATTTGGAGCTACAGAATAAGCATCGCCAAGTAAAAAGAATCTGAACTGTTGAAATGGCATGACCATGAAATATTCTATTATTTCTTCTCTTGCTACTGTGTTTGAAGTGAAAACCAAAACACATTAAAAGCTAGAGATTTTACAGGGTGTAAGCTTTTACTAGTCATGAAAGAGCCCTCAAAGCTGACATGCCATCTATAAAAAAACAACTTACGGAGTTTATAAAAAAAAAAACCACCCCACTTTTCAATTCAATTGCTTATGGGGAATAAAAACCACGGAAAGGCTCAATTTTCTTTTTAAGATCAAGATAACCGATTAGGTTTGAACAGCATAACAAGCAAGCACATTCAAGAATCGGTAACATGGAAGAAGCTCAGTTCTTTTTCTAAATAAAATTACATCAGATGAAAACCCTAAATACCATGAAGCTACACACTTGCAAGCAAGAAGAATCTGGACTTTATGACTGAAATCCAGTTGATCCAACTCCTTCATTTAGACACCAGCTTAAAGAGGCAGAAACAATTCCTTTTTTATTAACATGACAAGTGAATGGTTTGCCAAATCTTGTGGCTACAGCCCCCTAAACATTCAAACTTACTGAACCTTGAAGGAAACTGCTGTTGGATTCTTTATACATGGAAGAACTGAAAAACACAGATGACACTTTTGAAATTGCAGTCAGTGGAGTGGCCAAGAAACTTCACTAGCAGGGCAGATTAATATTTTGGTTTGGCAAAAAACAAACAATGTTTTTTTCCCACACATTTGTTTTCTTTAAAAACATGTATAAGTTTACTGGTCAGAGCAATTGGTATATGGAGCCACTGGGGCTTGTTAAAATGTTCTAATTACTAAAACATTTGCACAGGCAATTTCAAACTAAAAGCATACATTATCAACTAATGTGAATTTATGTTTAATTA